TGTTGGTGTAGGGGTGTGTGTGGGGTGTAGGGTGTGGGGTGTGGGTGTGGGTGTTGTGGGTGTGGGTGTTGGTGTGGGTGTAGGGTGTTGGTGTAGGGGTGTTGGTGTAGGGTGTTGTGTGGGGTGTAGGGTGTGGGTGTAGGGTGTTGGTGTAGGGGTGTGGGGTGTGGTGTAGGGTGTTGGTGTTGGGTGTAGGGTGTTGGTGTAGGGTGTTGGTGTGGGTGTAGCAGGTGTTGGGTGTAGGGTGGTGTAGGGTGTTGGTGTAGGGTGTGGGTGTGGGTGTAGGGTAGGGTGTAGGTGTTGGTGTTGGGTGTAGGGTGTTGGTGTTGGGTGTAGGGTGTTGGTGTTGGGTGTAGGGTGTTGGTGTAGGTGTTGGTGTAGGTGTAGGGTGTTGGTGTAGCGTGTTGGTACCGTGTGATTAGCTGAGAGTAAATCTTGTCTTGATAATCTCTCTCTCTCTCTCTCTCTCTCTCTCTCTCTCTCTCTCTCTCTCTCTCTCCTTTCTGAGTACGATGGCCATTTCTTTGACCTCGAGTCCTATATCTTAACCTTTTTGAGTATGATGGCCAAATTCTTGAATCCAAGGATGACATATTACTCAAGGGATTCAAGTCATTGTACCCAAAAGGCCTATGTAATTGTACTCAAGGGTCTGTCATCGTACTCGAGGCGTGTTACGTCGTCATACTCAAGGGATCATCGTCCTCGAGGCGTATTAAATCATCGTACTCAATGGGTCATCATACTCTTGGGGTCATCGTACTCAAATGGCCATCATACTCTTGGGGTCATCGTACTCAAAGGGTCATCATGTTCAAGGAGTTAACGGGGTGTCATAAGAGAGAGAGAGAGGGGGGAGGGAGGGGAGAGAGAAGGAGGGAACGGAGAGAGAAGGAGGGAAGGGGGGAGGGAAGGCATAGCAGAGTGGTTGAATGGCGCTGTAAACTAGATAGTGGAGATACCTGAGTGACGGCGACCTGCTCCCTGTAGTACCATTCCTCTGCTGTCCTTCTCTCCTTACTGTAATGTGATGAGGTGAGAGAGAGAGAGAGAGAGAGAGAGAGAGAGAGAGAGAGAGAGAGATTCCTGTACCATTACCTGACAAAGGATTTTTCATCATGGCTGGACAAAAAAAATTACAACTAGTCGGGTGAAAAAGTGATGTACTGTACAGCATCTACCATCAGCTGTGTCCTGGTAGACTGTTGAGTCAGAAGAATCCAAACACATCACCAAGTTGTTAGGTTATGGCATTAAATCCCACCTAACTCACCCAACATCGTCTTATCTTACCCTAACCTGACCTACCCTGACTTAGTGAAGGCTGACCTAGTCTCGCCTGACCTTGCCCAAGCTGGCCTAGTCTCTCTTGCCTTAGGTTTTGGGATTGTGTCTACCTGGAAAGTTATGTGGGTGAGTTTTGTCCGGTGGGAAGCTGTCTTTAGTATGGATTTGTCCACTTGAAAATCATGTGGAGTGATTCTTTTTTGTCCAGTTGGATTAATATTGGTCCTTGCACCGTCATCCTGTACACAGACTGTCTTGGTAATTTCGCTATAGGTCACAGACATAGCGGAGAATGAGTCACAGCCAGAGGTCACAGACACGGGGTTAGCCAGGGATTACAAATAGTGGGGGTCACAGCCTGGGGTCAGACACAGTGGGGGGGTCACAGACATAGTGGGAGTCACAGCCAGGGGTCAGACACAATGGGGAGTCACAGATATAGTGGAGGTCACAGTGGGGGGTTACAGACACAGTGCGGGGTCACAGACATAAATGGGGGTCACAGCCAGGGGACACAGACACTATGGGGTAGGTCGCTTCTTTCTTCGTGTGCAAAAGTTTTAGTTTATTGTGTTGGTAACTGCAGAACTTTTTATTAAAAACTGAGGTCGAGGATGTTGCTGTGTTGGGATGCAAATTGAAATCGATGACATTCATTTTTAGAGAATTTTTGTTTCCGATGACAAGTTGGATTCGGTTGCCAACGGAATTAGGTTGTGTAACGGCCGTTGGTGGAAATAATTTTGTATACATATCCCAAGTAATGAGGTCAACGGTATACTATAACAGCAGTTGTTGAATGTTTGTATATTCAACTGTAACCAATGAAATAAACGGTATATCCTTTGTAACGGCCGATGTTGACTATATTCAGATCCAACTGATGAAGTCAATAGAACTAGTTTATGTCACGACCGTTGTTGAGTATCATGTCTGACTAGTTAATAATGTACCGTGAATTTCAACTGCATATCCATTAAACGAATTCCGTAGTTGGAAAAATCCCATAAAATAATTTCCCAGTGGATAATAATTAATAGCACCAGACTATTTCCCTTCACCAAAGTGACTCAAGACGTTAAAAATTCTGGCCGGCAACAGAGTCTTTAAGTCCTAATACCCTGTCAGGTTCGGTTCGGTTAAATGGAATTGTGTCGCGGATCTTATTTTTTCTCTCTAACTCGAGTTGAAGCTCACACCTTTTGCTGGGGGTCAGGTGGTGGTTGAGATGGTGGTTGTGGTTGTCGGGAGGAGAGTGTAACAACATATACTGCAGTGTGGTGAATGCGGCAACCGACTCCCCCTCCCCCACAGGTGGTTGCTCTTTGTTCCTCTGTTCCTCTACTCCCTCACTCAAACCTTGGGGACGTGGGAAATGCACGCGCGCGTTTATTTAACACTTCCCTACGTGTGTATTCATTTTATCTGTATTCGTTTCTCTTTCTGGATTTGTACGATGTTTTAGAGCTCAACAAAACTTTCTATTGGCACAATGTTGAATGTAAAGTACGGAACAGTGGCGTTGGTGAACTAAAATAGGGAGCACGTAACGCTACACCTTGCCCCGGGGGCTGAGGATTGGCGGGAGCTGCAGGGCGTGGCTCCGATTTAAATTACTTACACGCTGCTCTGGCTTTAATTCTCCCAGCGCTCATCTCTTTTTCGTCTTATCGCTATTTTCATACGTTCTTTCCGTGTATATGTCTCGTTGTCTTTATACACGGTGCTGTATTTGGAGGTGGTGTGTAGGTCAGGAGTTTATATGCATGTTTATAAATACTTCTTTGTCCTGTTGGCGCGCTCACCACCCCAGCTGCCCACGAATATGGCGCGCAATCGATCCCGTCGTCAAGGCAACACTGGGAATACATTTCCCGCCAAAACTAACCTGTGCATGGACTGTACTGTACACGGGGAAGCAGGAAAACTGTGTGTCTGAGTTTTGACTAATACACTGACGCACTTACTTTGTTTTGTTTTGACTTACACTGACGCACAGTGTTTTGTCTTGAATGTAACACTGACGCACTTAATATTCTTTAACTTAATTTGTTTTCATTGTAACTGCCGTAAGTGTTTTTTCTTTTGTGTTACAGTACTTGTATCCTTCTTCCCCTCACAACGAAAAAATGATAATTTAAACGCCTGATCTTTTAATAATAACTTTTTATCTAATCTCCACAAGTATTGTTTATATGACCCGTTTTTAATGTTTAACTCACTATGGCCAACCTGTGTTTTAAGTGGTATTGTATTACTTATATGAATATTAATTTAGATTTGAATAATTGCTCGACACACTTAAGTGGAAGATAGCGTCAGTGTGTGACGTGAGAGCTTGCAGGTAAGACGCACTTTCAAACCTACTTGGACTTTAATGTAACTGACTTGACCTTAACCTAACCTGACCATAACCAAGCTTTGACTGACCTATCCTTAACCTAACCTTTAATTGATCTGACTTGGCTTTTAACTTAACCTGTCCTGACTTTAATCTGGCTAAACTTGAAACTATCCTGACCTGATCTGACCTGACCTGACCTGACCTGACGTTAAGCTGAGTTTAACCTCACTTTAACACTAACCTAATATTAACCTAGCCTAGCTTTATAACTTGACCTTAACCTTACGTGACCTAAAAGTTCAAACCCCAGCCTCAACCAACTCAACTTAACCTAACCCACCCTGACCTAATCTCACATAACCTAACCTACCCATGGAAATATTACCTCGTGTTAATGTCTTTGGGGATTTTCGTCCAATGTTGGTGGGATTTATGTGTACGTTGGGATTTTGTTTACTATCTGGTGCAGTTTTGGAGTTGAGCTGGTTCCCGGAAGCGTGTTGGGGCCTGCAATATTGAGCGACTGTGTGGAGGAAGGCGGGAATGCACGATATTGGACTGCGTGGATGTTGATGTTTTGCACTATTATTATTATTATTATTATTATTACTATTGTTTTTGTTATTATTGTTGTTGTTGTTGTTATTATCAGGTGTTCAAAGGTACTGTTTTGGGTAACTCTCTCTCTCTCTCTCTCTCTCTCTCTCTCTCTCCTCTGTATGTGTGTGTAAGTATTTTTTACATTATCTCCTGACCTAAAAATCTATGTCATACCAACGTTGACTCCCAGACCACTAAACATATACAGAAATTCAGGTGTTGGGGAGAAATATTTATCTCCCTCAACTCGCCTGTATTTTTGTGGAAGTTACTGTACCTGTAATCTTTTCTTTCTGTATCTTATATCTATTATGTTACTGTAAGTAAGGTTAGTAAAGGTCATGTGATACTGTAACCAGGAGAAAGGTCCTTTAACTCTTTAACTTGATACATTACTGTAACTGTATCTATAACTGTACTGTAGCTTGATGTAGGGTTGTGTAATGCTAACTGTACCTGTGTATATTTCAATTAGTTCAGTCATAAACTATATTACATTATTACGAGGTAGATACCTAGTATAAACGACGATCTCTCTGTGTGTATATATATATATATATATATATATATATATATATATATATATATATATATATATATGTGTGTGTGTGTGTCTTTGTCTGTGCCAAAACCTTTGTTTCTGAATTTGAATGATGAGAGCCGTTATTAACGAACGCTACGGACTGTATTAATTACGTTTTCCCCTTCGCTAATGACACCTGCCAATTGCCGGTGACTGAACACTGCTGGACATTATGACACGTGTGGGATGGCCGGTACGAGTGTCAGATATCCAGTGCAAGTGTCGGATATCCGGTACAAGTGTCAGATAGCTGGCACAAGTGTCGGATGTCCGGTATACAAGTGTCAAATATTCGGTATACAGGTGTCGGATATCCGGTACAAGTGTCAGATGGCTGGCACAAGTCTCGGATATCCGGTATACAGGTGTCGGATATCCGGTACAAGTGTCAGATGGCTGGCACAAGTGTCGGATATCCGGTACAAGTGTCAGATAGCTGGCACAAGTGTCGGTTATAAGGTAGAAGCCTCGGATATCCGGTACAAGTCTCGGATATCCGGTACAAGTGTTAGATATCCGGTACAAGTGTCACATATCCGGTATAAGTCTCGGATATCCGGTATACAAGTGTCAAATAATCGGTATACAAGTGTCGGATAGCTGGCACGACCCATGAGTAACTCTGGGATTAGTTCAGGTTAGGTTAGGTTAGGTTAGATTAGGTTAGGTTAGATTAGGTTAGGTTAGATTAGATTAGGTTAGGTTAGATTAGGTTAGGTTAGGTTAGGTTAGGGGTGATGATAATGTTGGTGAGTGTTCTTGAGGCAAATTATGAGATGGGGGGGAGGGGGAGGAAAGGAGAGAGACGGGGGAGATAAATGAATGGTGGGTGAGAGGAAAGCAGACAGAGAGAGAGAGAGGGAAAGGAAGGGAGAGGAGAGGGAGATAAAGAAAGTGAGAGAAGAAAAAGAGAGAGAGAGAGATAACCAGATTGCTTGAGGTAACTAGGCAAGTGAATCATAATTGCAAATAATAATAATAATAATAAAAATAATAATAATAATTACAAAAACAAACAAACAACAACAAGTAAACAACAACAACAACAACAAATAAACAACAACAACAAGTAAACATACCTCCTTTGTACAGGTAACCGTAGGCCCATTAACCGAACCCTTTCACTTAAATCATGAATAATGTATAAACTGTCTATTCCCTCTATTAAGTGCATTTGATAACTCCCAAATCTGGTTATATTTAAAGGATGCTGTCACGAGAGGAGGGGGGGGAGGGGGTTAACTCAATCGTGTGTGTGTGTTTGTTTGTTTGTCAGGGAGGAGGTGTGACTTTTTAACTTATTCCTTCTCATTTCTCTTCCTCATTCCTCACTCCCCTCTTCCCTCATTCCCCTCTTCCCTCATTCCCCTCTCCCTCACTCCCCTCTTCCCTCTCACTCCTCCCATCAGGTCATGACCCCAAGGCTAAGAGGTGTAGCGCTGCGTTAAATCAGAGTCTTCCTCATCCAGGTTAATGGCCCAGGTAGCGACTAACAGCATTGTCAGGGGATGGGCCATTTGCTTGTTGTACCTGCCGCTCCCACTGTTCACACCACGACCTCCATTTACTCGGAATTACTGATTTAAATGGCTTGACGTATCTTGACTATTGTTTACTGTGCTTTAAATGGCTTGACGTATCTTGACTATTGTTTAGTGTGCTTTAAATGGCTTGACGTATCTTGACTATTGTTTAGTGTGCTTTAAATGGCCCGAGATTGCTTTATTCCTAGACTTTAAATTGATTGTCTTAAAATGGCCTCAGATCGTCTTAAATTACCTTAAATCTTGTCTAAGTTGCCCTTCAGTATTTTCCTAAATGTCATATATTCTTGCCTTTTACCTTAAAACTTGTCTTAAATAACTGAAATCTTTAAATCCCTTCAATGACTCCCTAAAATAACCTTTATTGAGTTGTACTTGTGATTATGTTACGAATTATTGTATTTTTTTTTATTATTATTATTATTATTATTATTATTATTATTATTATTGTTATTATTATTATTATTATTATTATTATTATTATTATTATTATTATTATTATTATTATTATTATTATTACATCATTTGCTATCTATTACATTTAATGAATAACTAAAGACTAAACAGGCTCTATAATTACCCCTAGAGAATTATCGTCCTTGGTATAATTGCAGCTAATTATCGAAACCAATTAGTGGAGTCGGTGTTAATGTTGGCAAAATCGAAGGGTAAAAATCTTTCTCTGTGTTAAAATGAGTATATGATCATACTTCAAAACTTTCTTGTTGGGGGGAAATGACTTCGGTGTTCTCAAGGGAAATCAGGAGGCAAGTTAATGGCCTAGACGTATGGATATTGAATAACGAGAGAGAGAGAGAGAGAGAGAGAGACTAAAAATGTTTACTAATGCATGCTTGCTTTCTTGTGTGTGTGTGTGTGGTGTGTATAGGGGAGAGGTAGGGTGACTGTGTGTGTATGGGGGGAGAGGTAGGGTGACTGTGTGTGTCCAAGACTTGGGGGGGGGTAGGGGGGTGACGAAAAGATACACAAATAGATAAACTTTTTTTTTTTTTAATTGATCTTTGTATTCAAACTAGACCTTGACACCCATAAGATGGATATTCCTGCCAAATATAAACGTTCTGACCTATATAGACCGACACACACACACACACACACACACACACACACACACACACACACACATACAAATATAACTGTTTTCGCGTTCTTGTGGCTAAACGTTTCTGACCAAATTCAAACGTTTCCATCATCTTAATTCCACTGATCCTAAAACGTTTTCCTTGGCTCGGCTGACCTCCAGTGTGTCAACATTTATCACCGACCTCAATGAAAACGTTCCTCCCACAATTCCTCTTCAGTCTCCGGGTAAACAATAACAAACAGCAAACGTTTCCTTGTCTCGGCAATCACCCGCAGGTAAACAGTAATTAACAAGGTAAACAAGCCACGAGACGTTTAATATGCCCGGAATATTGTTTGTCAGTGTTGATAAAGGTGTCAGGTGTGAGTGTAGTGTGGCCCAGGTTAGTGTGGCCTAGATTAGTGTGGCCTAGATTAGTGTGGCCTAGATTAGTGTAACAGAGGTGTGGCTTAGAATATAGTGTGATTGAGAGAGGTGGGGCCGAAAAGTGTGAACGAGAAAGGTGTGGCCAAAGGGTGAACGAGAGAGGTGTGGCCGAAGGGTGTGAACGAGAGAGGTGGCTGAAGGGTGTGAACAGAGAGGTGTGGCCGGTGAGAAGGTGCGAAGGAACAGAGGTGTGGCCGAGTGTGAACGAGAGGGTGGGAAAAGTGAACGAGAGGTGGGCCGAAGGGTGTGAACGAGAGAGGTGTGGCAGTGAACGAGAGAGGGAAGACAGAGAGGTGGCCGAAAAGTGTGAACGAGAGAGGTGGGCGAAGGGTGTGAACGAGAGAGGTGTGGCCGAAGGGTGTGAACGAGAAAGGTGTGGCCAGACTAGTGTGAGCTCATCGTCGCAGATCATTGCTGACTGTACACATGGGCCCCTCTCCACCAACTCAGTTTTCTACCACTCTCTCTCTCCGTCTTTCTCTCCCTCTCTCTCTCTCTCTCAATCCACAAACCTCTGCTTAAAATAGATTGTTAAAACTGGACAAAATATAAGAGTGACATTAACTTTGACTAAACAGTGAGGGTGGTGAAATCGTGCCCTGTAAATTTTTTTTAAATGTGGTCACAGGTAGAGTTACGGCCTCATTAAAGAGGGTTTTAGTGCACTGAGTTTTTTTTTTTTTTGCTGGTTTATCTATATAACTTATGGACCGCTTGAAGAATCTACACCCCAGCTTATTTTACCTGAATAGTAACCACCCTAACATTATTTGGGGGATGAGGTTAGATGAATTAGAAGAGGTTAGGTAGTTAGGTTAACGTTAGGGTTGTTAATCTTTAGTTGGTATATGCTGGGGTGGAGATTCTTCAGGTGTTTCGACTCGTGTATTGTTCCATAATGGTCTTGTTTAGTAAGCCCTGTAACTACCACGGCTCTCTGTATTCAACCTTCCCGAATACAGATGATACTTACTAAACCACGTACAGTCGCCTGCACTTACACCTGGTACAGTGGCTGGTGCGTTTTGTAAGATGTGGCAACTCTGTTTTATGTGGTATTAAAATTGCCTGAATGGTCCTAAGGAACCCCATAATAGTAGCCAGACTAAGGATGCTATAGATAAGCATTCCTGGACAGAGTTGCCACATCTTACAAAACGTCCCAGCTACTGTACCAGGTGTAAATGCAAGCGACTGTACATTGAAATAGAAATAGTTCTTTTTATCCTTAGATTTAAAAAGTTGGGTCATCTATTCGGGATTTAATATTGGCTCTAAGTTTGGTGTCCTTCATCTTTATGTTCAATATATGAAGTGGGGTTATTCCTCCTCCCTCAGTGGTGCTCAAGCTGCATATCTGGGAGAGTTAGGAGAGCCATTTGGGTGATGACTGGTCGAGGAAATTTAGAGGACGGTAAAATATGGGATTCCAGATATGAATTGTTTGTCGGGAATCCGCAAGGAGTTTTTCTTCTTGGTGGGGCGCATTCGTCTTCTCTCTCTCTCTCTCTCTGTTCATATATTGCAGCCATAAAACATCTATACAGTGAACTTACCAGTCACCACGGCACCGCATTGACCCACCACAATACAACACCACCACCACAATACACCACCACACCACACCACAATACACCACCACACCACAATACACCACCACACCACAATACACCACCACACCACACCACAGTCACTCACCACAATACACACTGCCCCTCGCGACCAATCACCCAGGAATATATCTTTCAGCTTTTCTGTAGGAAGAAGAAGAAGAAGAAGAGAAAGAAAGGGGGAGGGGAGGAGGAGGAGGAGGAGGAGGAGGGAAGGAGGAGGATTCGCAGTAATAAATTAGGTAACAAATTCAAGTCGTGTTTGTGTGCTGCGCCTCCATCTTCCCCTCGGACGCCCACCGCCTCCTTCTCCTGGTCATTAGAGGGCAGGGGGTGTGGGCCGGCTGGGGGGAGGTTATGAAGTTGGGGCAGGGGAAAATGGGGGTTGTGGAGGGAGTTAGAGGAGAGGAAGGAGGAGTTCGGGAAGGAAGAAGGAATTTAAGGGGTTTGGGGAGGGAGGAGGAAGGAAGGAGACAGGAGTTAGGAGGAGGGAGGGAGGGGAGGTAGCCCCAGGTGGGGAACGTGTGAAGTGAAGTGGGGGGGAGAATGAGGGAGGTCATACATTATCCAAATATTTATTGTCCATGAATATCAACTTTGCTTCTCATTTATGGTAATTAAGGAGTAAAAATGGCTGACTTAGAATATTAGATGAGGTAAGAGGGAGGGGTGGGGGGAGGGAAGGGGGATGGATGGTGGGGAAAGAGGGAGGGAGAAAGGAAAGGAAGTGAGGATAGGGGAAGAATGAAGACAGGATGGAAACATGATAAAGAGATAGATGCTCTTGACATATACAGCAGGGCTCTTGACAAGGTTCTCATGCTGGTTCACTTTGAGAGTTCTGAGAGAGTGAGAGAGTTCTGAGAGAGAGAGAGAGAGTTCGAGAGAGAGAGTTC